AGACTAATCACAATAAGTTAAGCAAGATCGAATTGACCTGGGTTTTCCTTACTCTCTAAGAAAAATCTCTAATTTATCATCATCTCATCGGTCCTTGAGAAGCAGAGAGATTCGTAATCTATGGATAAGCCTCTGCTTTCAGGTAAACCTTTGATCTCCTCTCTGTATATATCTCCTTTGAAATTCATTCTCTGATTCATGATTTGGTCTTGTTGAAAATTATTCCTCTTTTGGGTTTTTTTAGAGAAAACGAAGGATTCCGAGAGATGGGATTTGTACCAGTACCTACAGAGAAATAGCTCTTCTGCTCGTAACGCTTTCGCCGGAACTGGCGTTACCGTCGAGGAAATCCGTTCTGCTTCCGCTGTTTCTGATCCACCGTCTCTTTACCCTCCTGTCTTAACGTCCCCTGTTTCGTTGCCCACTCGTAAGTCTCGTCTCGTTCGATCTTTTTATTATCCTTGAAATCTTGTATTGGCCTGTGGAAAGAGACGTTTCGGTTACTGAAAATTATATTTAAAGTTTTGATTTTGATAGTGATTAAGTTGATCTAATACATTCTGTTTCCTCTAGCTTTTTTGATTCTGATCCTCTAAATGTGAAAGGTTCATCATTTCGCTATATAATCTTCCATCTTCTTGGCATTTTCACAGCTCAAGCTATTGGTTATCCGAGTGCATCTGCAGCAAGTCATGAATTGCAAAGGTAAAGTCCAGTGAAAATGGTTCCTGGTACTTTAGAATATGCAAAGATTTTGTGGCTTTAGAGTTATTTGACTGCGTGTTCTGAAGTCTGAACTTATGTATATTTCAGGCAGATTCTTGATGAGATTGAAATAAGAGAGCTGCTTATTGATCATATTGGACATCGTTGCTGTTGGGGAAGTCGTCCTGCTCGTACGTGGAAGATTCATTCTGTCGAAGACTGCAATGTTTACGCCGGAACTCTTGACACTTTCATTGAGGAAAGAGAAGCTTTGACACAGACTGTGCCTTTCAATGGCGGAAGTTTCAATGGAAAGAAACATGGATCTGAACCGGAGTTATGGCAATTGGATCTGAGATCTCAGTTTCCTACTCTGTTTGTTCCCTATAAAGAAACTCAAGTCCCGGTTCCTAACTCTGAGACTGTTGAGAAGTGCACGGGTAACAATTTTTGTGTTCCTTAATCGTTACGATAATAAGAAATGTTGTAGATACTGATGAGGCTTCATGTATGATTGTTCTACAGATTGTACAGGAAGAGGAGAAGTAGTATGTCCAACGTGCAATGCCGATGGAGAACCCGGGTTTTATAAGGAGAATCAGATGATGAAGTGCTCTGCTTGCTACGGGAGAGGTTTGCTTGCCCATAAGGATGGATCTGACACAATGTATAAAGTTCATTTCAAAAGCTCAACTTTCACTTTGATGGTCGCAAACTGTGGCTTCTACTTACAGAAAACCTTCTTTTTCTCCACAGCTGCGCAGGTTGTAACGGTAAGGGAAAGCTTCCTTGCCCAAATTGCCAATCTCGCGGGTTAATCAAATGTCAGACTTGTCACGGTACTGGTTCTCTTCTGACAAGCAGTACCGCAGTTGTAAGATGGTAAGTTTTACAACTCTTAACAACACATGGCTTCGAGTGGGAATTGAAAGATTTGATTTTTTAATTTTCCGGGTTTTAACAGGAAGACTCTGTCGAAGCGAAAGGTGAGTGCAACGAGAGGAGCTGGTTCAGTACCAGAAGAAGTATTTCACAGAGCAGAAGGAGTGCAGCTTTGCAACACACAAGCTTACCAGTGCACACCGGCTTACTTTGCAGACTCATATTTCCTCAACAAATTCTCCTCAGAAGTTATCTCGTTGAGAGCTGAGGTTCCACCAACAGCGAATGTGGTCTGCGAAAGACACACTATATCTGTTGTGCCTGTTACACGCGTCACCATGGAAGAACGTGGGAAAGCATTCAGCTTTTACATAATCGGTTTCGGTAAAGAGATATACTTGAAAGATTACTACCCAGCAAGGTTCTGCTGGGGTTTGTGTCCTTGTCTTGAGTGGTTAAAGGTTTGAATAACCTGAGTTTTCGTGGATCTTGTCTACTTAATGTAAGAAACAGAGAGATGCTGCTTTTAAACAGAGAAGTAAATGTTTTGTGTGCATATTATTGAAGCCAAATAGTTAATTGAATGGGGAACTTGCTAGCTTCAAATTGTGTTGTGCAATGAATTCAGAAAGATTAAATTATAATGTAAAATATAGAGTATTTCCATAACAGATAGGGAGCAAATGAAACACAAAATTTGTAGTAATCTATTGTTATGTGAGAGAGAGATAGAGAAGTAAATAAGACAAGGGAAGCCTCTTCACTTGGCTTTGTTGGCAGACTTCTTGGTGATGTCCTTCTTTGGTTTCAATTTATCTGATCGTCCTGACTTCTTTTTCTCCTTCTTCACGTTGTACATGTTTATAGCCTATAAATCATAGTATAAGCAAATGGATTACACAATCCTTTCGGATAGAAAAACTCGAGGCAAGAAACCAAAACCAGGGAGGAGAGGAGCTGAGAAGTTTTTTGGTTTTACCTTGCCAACATTGAGGATCTCATGTGAATGCTTCGAGAGTATCTTGCTAAGGACATTGTTTGTCTGTTCTTTTTCCTGGTCAACCGCCCCACGCTTTTCTCCTACAACCGGTAAATACTGCAAAAACCCTCCCACAAATTAGAAAACCTCATTTACTAATCGACAAATTGATTCAAGGAGGTTTAAAGATTGCTGGATTACCTTGTTATGTTTGCCTTGCTTCTTTTGAGGTTTTTCTCCAGGCAACTTTTTATCAAACTTTCCACCACTAGCCGTTGAAGTGGCGGCTAAACCTGCAACATCACCAAGTGCCTCCTTTCCAATTTTCTTTGGCTGAGCTTTCGTGCCTGATATTGGCAATGCGGTTGCAGCAAGTTGGACATGGCTGCAAATAGTGTAGACTCATTTAGATCTTCAGTTATCAAAACCATGAAACTCATGGTATGATACCGGTGTTGCATATTAAAAACAATAGCTCGAACCAAAAGCTAAACTATATGCATTGAAAAGAACCAGCAAACAATCAGATCAAACTTATAAAAGAAAAACATTTGCGATACCAATCAAAGAAGTTGTTATACCTCGGTAAAGCCCCAGCTTTTTCTGCTGTCCTCAAATTCTGTAGTCGATTCTTTTCTTGCTTTCCAACTCTCTTCTTTTTATCATCCAGTCTCTTGGCGAAAGGATCGACTCCTGGTTCTGCAGTTATCCAAAAGAGATTAGATTACAACACTGTATAGCCACAACAACTGCATATATGCCTATTTAAGAAACCAGCAACATAATTTTAATACTAAAAAAGCAAAGATAAGAAAGTTTCTTTTTTTTCACAAGACCTACCATCTGTTTCCTTTGCCTCAATAATGGGAATATCATTATCATCATTAACACGGTCGTAACCATGGCGACGCTTAAATTGATCTGTTTGTTCATCGTATACAATCTTGTCCTTCTTGCGATTTTGTATGCCTAAGAAACAGAACCAAGAACAATTTCAAACAAAATAAACATTATTATCTTGAAAACATAGAGCAAAGAGGTCATCAATCCATCAAAATCTGAACAAAATCAAGCTTGTAATCCTCAAAACAAATTCTTCATAAGCTTTACCTCTCTTAAGAGCAAATTCTTCCCACTTTGTAGGAGGCTTAGGCCTCGGAAGCTGGGAAAAAAAGGAAGAAGGTTAGCATGCTTATATTATATTCAAGAGATAAGGCGATGATCAAAATTAAACAGGCCATTAAAAGATTCTAGAATTTGTTGTTTCATACGAGAAAACACTCGTTAGCATTTTAAATTGGTAATATACTAATTCATTTTGCAAAGTTCCAAAACTCATACTATAGCAACATCCATCGCAGATAGCGTCTCATGAAATCGGAGATAGTGGAGAATATAAGGAAGAAGATCTTACATGTTTCTCTCTAGGAAGTTTGGTTATAGGCGGAGGCAAATGGACAAGAGGACCATCACTAGTTTCAGTAGAAGGAAAGTTGAAAAGTGTATTAGCTATTGCCTGAACAAGCTTTGTTCCTTCCGTAATGCACTCCTTCACAAGCTCATCCCTATAATAGATTGGAG